TACGCAAGGCATCTCAATCCACGAAAAACAAAAGTCCTTATGATTCAGCCCCAGGTAAGCGTTCCCCTCCCAAAGCGTTCACTTTTCATTATTTTGCTGTTAAAAGAAGCGTAAACTTCTCTGAATGGGTTAAGTTTTAGTTTTAAAAAAGAAAGAAAAGATGAGCTAAAACCCTCGACTGTCCCTTTTCCTTTCAGTTATAAACAGAGAAAAAAACTGACGCTGTCGGTTCTTTTTCTGGTAATTTTCGTTTAACAACCACTTGTGAAGGGACTGCTTTCGCTGCTGGCTCTGGTGGTAGTTTACCAACAGCGGATGATTGCACCTAAAAATTCACAGCTAATGGCAAAATATTACAAAGTAACGATCATGAGTGTGTTGAAAACACTAAGGAAAAGACGCTGGATTCGACTGAGAAAAGAGAAACAGCATGAAAAATCTCAATGGTCCCTCTGCATAACAAGGCAGAGACGATGCGTTCTGTTATGCAGATGACATGAGCGGTTGATAATATAAAGGAAAGCAGATAGATCAGATGTGCTGCCCGTCCTGTTACAGTAGGCACCAGCAAGTGATGCAAAACAGAAAAAAACTAGAAATTTGAGCGAGAAAATAAGTGCCAAGAACTGTGTTAAAAAGGTTCAAACAATAGGCTACCTTTTTGCTCATCAAAACTTTAGCCGTTTCTTCCTCATCCAAGCGCTTCTCCTCCTCATCACTAGTACCATAAAGAGAATGATCCGGTGATGGTGTCCTCGGCACAATTTTTCTTTTTCGGCTCATGTTCGTAGTCAAGTCATTCTTGCCCGTTTTATACGAAATTCTGTAAAAACAAATTAAGCTTTTTAGTGAATGATCCCAACAAACTTTTTGGACAAATGTGAAAAATACTTCATTTTCCGAATAAAAAGTCGATTTCTGCTTTTGTTAAAAATCTTTTGGAAAACTGTTTAAAAGTTTACTAATTTAATAGCTAAATCAAATTAACTTTTTACAAACCTCTACCCTGAGCATGAATTACACTGAACATCCAGGTTTTCCTTCTATACTTCCAGCTGTATTATTAAAATCACACAAATAATTACCCTAAAATACAGCCCCTTTTTCAGCAAAACTCCCACTGGTAAGCTACACGCACCGTTCAAAATCGCAACGAACACGTTCATCCGAAGAGATTTACTTTCTCCTCATGGCGGTGCAGACATCCTACATGTCATAAGCTACAGGTTAAAACTAAAAGAAGTCAAAAATCAACCTTGATCTGATATTCTTTTTTGTTCTCTCTTCCCTCTCGTCCATTCGCCTACTGGCTACTCGTGCAACTTCCTTCCGTTCTCGCTCTTCCGCTTCATGTCTCGACCTTGGCGTCCCAAATTTAGAAACGCTTCGCTCAGGCCCATCACGTCGCTCTCGTCCAGCTCCAGACCGTGAGCGTGCTATAATAAAAAAGGCAGTGCTACGCATCCGGATCTGTTAGCAGAAAATGTGTCTGTTCAAACAATAAGAATGAGAAAGGAAATGGGCTAAACCTCAAAAAAAAAGCAAGCAACTTCAAGGAATTATTAAGAAAAAAGAGTTTTTGCGAAGCGATGATTAAGAAAAACTAAAAAACAGCTACAGAGCATCTACTCCAATCCCTTTAGTGCATTCTCAAGCTAAACGCAAAATTTTTTCGTCGACAATTTGCAGCCTGAGACAGAAAGGCCCTACTTCACAATAAGGAATGCGTAGCAGCATTACTTTAAGGCGACTAAACGTGGAAATGAATCTCGGGAAAATGTATGACTGGTCGCCCTAAACTTCTTTCCCAGCAAAGCTGCAACATGCTGGCAAAATATTTGAAAATTCTGTCACTTGTGATTACAAAGCAGTAAGCAACAATTTCCCAACAAAGTATGCGGCAAACCGCAGTTCCACTCTACAAAAAACTAAAGAGATTGTGTTGAAGCCTTGGATCTCCCTACTCTGCTCAGATGAAGCAGCTTCAACTTCCATAAAAAAAAGACGTTATCAAAAGATACCTCGACGATCAACTGGGCTACCCGATTTTCGGCGGCTTTGCGTCCTTTCAGGCGCCAACACTGGCGATCGGCAGACTTTGCGCGGCGGCTAAAAATATTTTAAACATAAGAAAATTTGAATCGTACGAATATTTTCTGAAAATGATGCAAAATTTACCCCAAAAGATGACCTCTAAATTCCTCCCTCACTGCTAGGCGAAGGCAATCGGAAGTGATAACACACTGCCTGTAGCAAGTTTCAGCTAGTAAAGCAATCGACAATTTTTT